GTATCCATAGAGTATAAAATTCAGGCCCTTTTTTCACAAACATGCTTAAGTATGTGCATATACACATACCTATATAGTCTTTGTTTTATAATCACTGGAACTTATTGAATGGTAACATGTTTTTTAGTCTTAAAAGTGAATGACCATGTATAAGGATTAGTTTAACAGCAGTATTGTCATTCCATGTATCACCTTTTAAAAAATTATTTGTTTGTTGATAGATATTGAGGTTGCCTTCAGCTTTTTTTCTATAAATAAGGCTTCCTGTTGAAGATATCCTTGTATATTTCCCAATAATATTTATCATTATAATTTTAATAAGTAAAATTTCTACTTAATTGAAAATTCAAAAGGTACAAATGAGTATATGATGAAAAATCAATCTCTCTCCTACTCCTATTTTCCAATTACTCTATTTCCTTCTTTTTCTTGTGAATCCTTCAGAGATTTTCTGTGTGTATGTGTGTGTGTACAAATTTCCCCCCCATATATGCTGCCATTATCTATGCACTCCTCTATACCTTATTTTTGAACTTCATAATAGATTGGTTTGTTTAAGCTACTTATTTCGTTTTATTGTCTCTAAGTATTCCTTTGTATGGATTAGTGATATTTATTTATTTTATTAAATATTAAGTAGTCCCTTATTAAGTTGTTTCCTATCTTTGCTATTACAATAAAGTGAATATCTTTATATGCACATCGTTTTCACATTTCTGCAGCATCATGCTTAAATGGGGAATTGTTGGATCAAAGAGTATGAGCAATTTTATTTTGAAAAATTTAAAATTGCAAGCTTCCTTTGTAGACAGGCTGTATCAATATAGTTTTCAACTGACAATGTATAAGAAATATATATTTTCATAATTCATTTTGCAAAATGTACTTTCCCTTCAACTCTGTCCAACCTAGTTTTTCTCTTTTTCTTGCCAAACTGGTAGACGAAAATGTACCTCCACTATGATTTTGCTTCCTGTTTTTAAAAAGTATCAGTGAGGCTAAAACAATAATTCATATATTTAATAACCCTTGTATTATCCTTTCTATTAATTTCTATTAATTAATCATCTGTTAGTGGTGTTGGTTGCAAATTCCCACCCTCCTTCACAAAGTTGTCATTTTGGTCCCTGTCACTTTGGTCACAAAATGGCTTTTGGTCACTTTTGCAATGAGGAAAGTTTTTATTTTTACGTAGTAGAATTTATCACCTATCTTTAGTGGTTTTGAATTTTGTTTGATAATTAGAAAGTTCACATGCTTTTCAAAATTGTTTTAAAAAAATCATGATCTTTTTAGCACTTCTATGGATTAATACTTTTCCATGTTTAGGTCTTATGTCCATCTGGAAACCCATATCAAGTTTTTAATTTACTCATACTAATTTAGTGCTCGACTAACATGGCACAAAACCCTACTTAACTAGATTCGAGGACCTCACCCATTTTGTTAGTGTCCTTAAGTTGTTTTTTTTGGTTACTCCCAAAGGGATTTTTATAACCCATCTGATATGAGGCAGAATAACTTCTTGGCTATAATTATAGCTTCTGAATTTTGATTTAAAATCGACTTCTGCTGTTTACTAGCTGTGGCAATGTGAGAAGTTGCTGAAGGTCATAGCAGTAATAAGGCCTGTATCACAAGATTACTGAGAAAATTAGATGAGGTGATACATGTCATTCTGATTCACCTAACTGGCAACGTGTGGCGTGATTATTATCATCACTGTTAATGTGATTATTAATAATTAATAACAGCATTATTATTGCTATTTTTATTAAAGTCAGTTTGCTGCATAGAGTCCCAATTGAGATAGATTCCTCTGCCAATCTAGAGAGAGCCTGAATGATGCTAAATGTACATATAATGGGAATGTCATTGTCTAACTTACAGTCTAGAGACATGCCACACTCCCAGAGCCATGTGATTTTAGAGCTGGATTATATAGAAAAGTAGGTTCCTTATTGGTCACTGCACATTATTATAGGGCCCCTGAAGAGCCTGGCTTGCCCACCAAGCTTTTAAGAATGCTGTAGACCCATTTTCATCTAATTATGAGCTTCAAGTACAGGCCAGTAGGCCTGGTGAGTAACTGGTATAGAAAATAGGGCTTCCCAGATGGCACTCGTGGTAAAGAACTCACTTGCCAATGCAGGAAGCATAAGAGATGCAGGTTCAATCTCTGGTTCGGGAAGATCCCGTGGAGAAGGGCATGGCAACCCACTCCACTATTCCTGCCTGGAGAATCCCATGGACAGAGAAGCCTGGTGGGCTACAATCCATAGGGTCTCAAGGAGTCAGACATGACTGAAGCAAGTTGGCATGCATGCATGCAGACCCATGTTCATCTAATTATGAGCTTCAAGTCCAGGCCAATAGGTCTGGTGAGTAACTAGTATAGAAAATAGAGAATAAGAGTATATTTATAACTCTGAAAGAGATAAAAGTTTCCTGAATAAATTCAGGAAATTTAATAATTTACAATTATTAATTTAAAATTAATAATATATAATTACAGAATAAACTCAGTAATTATAAAGGAAAACATCAGATGATTTTAATATTTAAAAGTTCAGAATTTCTATGCAACAGATATCAAAAGCAAAGTCAAAAGACAATTGCCATCCTTACAAAAAATTTTTGCAACGTATGTGCATAAAATGATATTAGCCTTAATATCTAAAGATTTCATGTCAATTAATAAGAAAAAACAAACTAATAGAAATTTGAGAAATTACATATGGTTAATAAGCATGTGGAAAATACTCAAATGCAAATTCAAACAGAGATATATTTTTGTCCTTAGATAGACATTTAAAATATTTATGATTGCCAGGAACACAGTTTGGGAATACCTACAAAATTATACATTCATTCTGAACTGGAAAATGCCACTTCAAGACATCTTTTATACACACGTGTGTACTAAGATATACATTTAAGAGAATTAATTGCCACATCATGAAGAAAATATACAAACAACCTAAATATCCATCAATAGTACAATGGTTAATATGGAATGCTATATAGTGGTTAAAAAATCATGTGGTAAATTCTGACAAGGAAATGTTTCACAAACATGCCATTATATGAAAGTGCAAGTTGCAGAACAAAATGTATAGTGTGATTACAGAGTGATAAGAAATCCGCTGGACAGAAGTATATATCACATATATAACTACATTGAAGAATGTCTGGAAAAGTCGTAACTTGGGCTGGCTAAAGCGCTCGTTCCATTTTCTCTGTAAGCTCTTACAGTGAAATGTTACAGAAGAAAGCCGAAGGAGTGTTTTGGCCAACCCAATAGTTTAGAGTGCTTCTGATAAGGAAAGTGGGATCCTTTGAGGGAAGGAAGGTGGGGGGTAGGAGAGAGAATATGGGGGATTTTCACTTTGTATCCTCTGTATCTCTTTGTAGTTTAAAAGTTGATGACTGACTGTATCAAGTACTTGTGTATCTAAAACACGAACACATCATGGTTGTCCTTACACAGTACTGCTCGCTGCAAAGTTGAATGGAATGTGAGTGCATGCTAAATCACTTCAGTTGTGTCATACTCTTTGCAAACCGATGGACTGTGGCCTGTCAGGCTCCTTTGTCCATGGGATTCTCCAGGCAAGAATACTGGAGTGGGTTGCCATGGCCTCCTCCAGGGGAATCTTCCCGACCCAGGGATTGAACCTGCATCTCTTATGTCTCCCGCATTGGCAGACTGGTTCTTCACCACTAGTGCTGCCTGGGAAGCCCTTAATGGAATAGTTAATTCTAAAATCTCACCTAAGATAATTTATATTTTCAGAATACAGTTGGGAAACCATTTATGAGGTGACAAATAATCAGGGTGTGTAACAGGATTGTTAATAAACCACTGAATTTAGGACTGGCTTCATCGCAGTACGTGTTTCAAGACAATGCCGAGGTCTTCATTAGAACTGGTGCCAGGTTATAATGAGATGATTTTGCTGACAAACTGCATCCAGCCACATCATACTAAAGTCTTCACTGCAGCAAGTAGTGTCACATTCTGGGACAGGCTTCTTTCTCTGCTGCAATCTTACTGAACTTTTGCTCTTTAACATATAAGAAAAACAGGGGCAGAATGAAACTTCCCTAGTATCATTAAAATTGTGAAACTGAATTACAGTTCTTTGGCAAAGCTGTTGCACAAGAACATCGTTAATCTTTCTTGAAATTTCATGACAAAGGGCTCGATGCCCTAATATTCATGAATTTTTTGCTTCTAAGAACGGCCTTTTAGGCCTGTCATCTGTTTTCCTGCTTTTTGACACAAACAAGGGACCAAAAAACATTTCATGTTCCTCTTGTCTGTAAACACTATTTGCATTAGCAAAGCAAGAGTGAAAATACAATGGTAAACAGCAGTGATGTTCACCACAGTAGCAGGGAGTTACTAGGGAATGAAGAAGACTGTGACAAAACAGGAGGTGCATGCTCCATCCAGAGGCTGCATTGTTTAGTTCCAGCTGGTTGTTATTATTCTGGAAGACCAGTGTTGCAGATTTTCTAATTTTCCAGGAGAAAAAAAATTCTGAGCTTATGTGATTCTTAAATATTGGGAAATATAAAATATATATGCAAAATATAATATATAAAAATCATTTAGCCAGCTCTGTAAAACATACGGAAGCCAAATTTAGCTTGTGGATCACTTTGTGACTTTGGTTTCATGTCACTCTTGTCCTGAATGCTCTGCAACATAGGTCCGCAAACATGGTAGTGCAAAAGGATGATCTGTGAAAACTATTAAAAATTCAGATTACGAGGCCCCATTCAGTGTACTAAATTTGCAACTATGTTTTTAACAAGTTCCTCTATTGACTGTATACAGCCAGCCCCACAAGAACTTCTGGATAGCTTCATATCAGCTACAAATTGAAATGGAAGATGAAATCCATCTTGAATGCAAGTTGCAATCCATTTATGGTAGTTGCCTGGTGCACTAATTTGAGGAGGACTATGTATGTCCAGGTATAGTGGGAAGCTCAATAACTGTTAATTATGTCTACCTTGGGAATAGACAGGGAGGAAGGTGGTACATGTGCTGTTTCTTTGCTAACCATGACCAATTGGTTAGGATCTACACTTTTTAAAATAGCATTTAAATCATTCCATGATGTGGCCACACCTTCTTCTCTAGTCTCATCATCCACTATATCCTGCCTCATATGTGAAGCTCCAGTATCAAGAAAGTATTTGCTGCTTCCCAGACATGTCATTCTATTGCACTGCTCTTTCCATCTCTGCTCCTGCTCTTTCCATCTCTCACCCCCTCCCTTTCTGGCCAGCTCTACTCCCTGACTGTGGCTCAGCATGGACATCTTCTTTCAGAGGAAGATTTTTCTCACTTCTTCTCCCTCCCCCTTCATTTCAGGATAAATTAAGTGCTTCCTAAAAATATCTCCATCATGGAATTTGATTCATATTATTAAAATGATCAGCTTACACTTGCCATTTCCTCCCCAAAGCTTCAGACCCCAACTGGAAGCTTTCCCATCTTGAATATTTTATTAATATATGTATAAATATACAATGTACTATCAATTACATAACTAAACTACATTTGCAGTACTGAATTGATGATTATTAAATTGAACTTTGCCATTTTTACAATAGATAACCTTGTATTATGTATATATTTATAGTGGAGACTTATCTTTCTTGCTGAATTATACCTTGTAAGGCAAGATACCTGGAATCATAGATGTTAAAAAAATGTTGAAGCATGGAAGGGCCTTAGAAATTATTTTATTGGTTTATTTCTCTTGTTATTATATCCAAGAGGAAAATGAGGTTAGGAGAGGCAGGAAGACTATCTGTGTAGTTGAGTTAAGTTTCTGGAATCATAGTATCAGGGTTCAACTCCTGGCTTTACCACTTCCTAGTCATGTGAACTAAGCTGTAAATTCTAAGCTTCAGTTTTCTTTTGGAGGATGAGGAAATAATATTAAGTCCTTCAGAGGGATAATATGTTGTTTCAATGAGAAAACCCCTTTTTCATGCTTGGTAAAATTCCTAACATGTTGTGAAAACTAATTAAATATTGGCTTACTCCTAAAATACATAGTAGTTAGTGGAAGAACCAGAAAGAGAACACAAATTTTATGACTTTCATTCCAGCTACCTTAACAAGTTTAATTGATCCTCTGTATGTAGGTCAGGAAGCAACAGTTAGAACTGGACATGGAAGAACAGACTGGTTCCAAATAGGAAAAGGAGTACATCAAGGCTGTATATTGTTACCCTGCTTATTTAACTTAAAAGCAGAGTACATCATGAGAAACGCTGGGCTAGAGGAAGCACAAGCTGGAATCAAGATTGCGGGGAGAAATATCAATAACACAACTGAGCGACTAAACTGAACAGAACTGACTAGACAGACCTTTGTTGACAAAGTAATGTCTCTGCTTTTTAATATGCTCTTTAGGTTGGTCATAACTTTCCTTCCAAGGAGTGTCTTTTAATTTCATGGCTGCAATCACCATCTGCAGTGATTTTGGAGCCCAGAAAAATAAAGTCAGCCACTGTTTCCCCATCTATTTGCCATGAAATGATGGGACTGGATGCCATGATCTTAGTTTTCTGAATGTTGAGCTTTAAGCCAACTTTTTCACTCTCCTCTTTCACTTCCATCAAGTTGCTCTTTAGTAGTTCTTCACTTTCTGCCATAAGGGCGGTGTCATCTGCATATCCGAGGTTATTGATATTTCTCCCAGCAATCTTGACTCCAGCTTGTTCTTCCTCCAGCCCGGCGTTTCTCATGATGTACTCTGCATATAAGTTAAATAAGCAGGATGACAATATACAGCCTTGATGTACTCCTTTTCCTATTTGGAACCACTCTGTTGTTCCATATCCAATTCTGACTGTTGCTTCCTGACCTGCATACAGATTTCTCAAGAGGCAGATCAGGTGGTCTGGTATTCCCATCTTTTGAATAATTTTCTCCAGTTTATTGTGATCCACACAGTCAAAGGCTTTGGCATAGTCAATAAAGCAGAAGTAGATGTTTTTCTGGAACTCTCTTGCTTTTTCGATGATCCAGCGGATGTTTGGCAATTTGATCTCTGGTTCCTCTGCCTTTTCTAAAACCAGCTTGAACATCTGGAAGTTCACAGTTCACGTATTGCTGAAGCCTAGCTTGGAGAATTTTGAGCATTACTTTACTAGCATGTGACATGAGCGCAATTGTGCAGTAGTTTGAGCATTCTTTGGCATTGCCTTTCTTTGGGATTGAAATGAAAACTGACCTTTTCCACTCCTGTGGCCACTGCTGAGTTTTCCAAATTTGCTGGTATATTGAGTGCAGCACTTTTGCAGCAGCATCTTTTAGGATTTGAAATAGCTCAACTGGAATTCCATCACCTCCACTAGCTTTGTTCGTAGTGATGCTTTCTAAGGCCCACTTGACTTCACATTCCAGGATGTCTGACTCTAGGTGAGTGATCACACCATCGTGATTGTCTGGGTCGTGAAGATCTTTTTTGTACAGTTCTTCTGTGTATTCTTGCCACCTCTTCTTAATATCTTCTGCTTCTGTTAGATCCCTACCATTTCTGTCCTTTATTGAGCCCATTTTTGTATGAAATGTTCCCTTGGTATCTCTAATTTTCTTGAAGATATCTCTAGTCTTTCCCATTCTATTGTTTTCCTCTATTTCTTTGCATTGATCACTGAGGAAGGCTTTCTTATCTCTCCTTGCTATTCTTTGGAACTCTGCATTCAAATGGGTATATCTTTCCTTTTCTCCTTTGCTTTTCACTTCCCTTCTTTTCACAGCTATTTGTAAGGCCTCCTCAGACAGCTATTTTGCTTTTTTGAATTTCTTTTTCTTGGGGATGGTCTTGATCCCTGTCTCCTATACAATGTCATGAACCTCCATCCATAATTCATCAGGCACATTGTCTGTCAGATCCAGTCCCTTAAATCTATGTCTTACTTGCACTGTATAGTTATAAGGGATTTGATTTAGGTCATACCTGAATGGTCTAGTGGTTTTCTCCACTTTCTTCAATTTCAGTCTGAATTTGGCAATAAGGAGTTCATGATCTGAGCCACAGTCAGCTCCTGGTCTTGTTTTTGCTGACTGTATAGAGCTTCTCCATCTTTGGCTGCAAAGAATATAATCAATCTGATTTTGGTGTTGATCATATGGTGATGTCCCTGTGTAGAGTCTTCTCTTGTGTTGTTGGAAGAGGGTGTTTGCTATGACCAGTGCATTCTCTTGGCAGAACTCTTTTAGCCTTTGCCCTGCTTCATTCTGTACTCCAAGGCCAAATTTGCCTGTTATTCCAGGTGTTTCTTGACTTTCTACTTTTGTGTTTCAGTCCCCTATAAAAGAAGGACATCTTTTTTGGGTGTTAATTCTTGAAGGTCTTGTGGGTCTTGACAGAAATGTTCAACTTCAGGTTCTTCAGCATTACTGGTTGGGGCATAGACTTGGATTACCATGATATTGAATGGTTTGCCTTGGAAATGAACAGAGATCATTCTGTCATTTTTGAGATTGCATTCAAGTACTGCATTTCAGACTCTTTTGTTGACCATGATGGCTACTCCATTTCTTCTAAGGGATTCCTGCCCACAGTAGTAGATATAATGGTCATCTGAGTTGAATTTACCCATTCCAGTCCATCTTAGTTCGCTGATTCCTAGAAGGTCAATGTTCACTCTTGCCATCTCCTGTTTGACCACTTCCAATTTGTGTTGATTCATAGACCAAACATTCCTGGTTCCTGTGCAAAATTGCTCTTTACAGCATCAAACCTTGCTTCTATCACCAGTCCCATCCACAGCTGGGTGCTGTTTCTGCTTTGGCTGCATCCCTTCTTTCTTTCTGGAAGTTTTTCTCCACTGATCACTGGTAGCATATTGGGCACCTACTGACCTGGGGAGTTCATCTTTCAGTGTCCTATCTTTTTGCCTTTTCATGCTGTTTCATGCTGTTAGCCGTCTAGTCAAGGCTATGGTTTTTCCAGTAGTCATGTTGGATGTGACAATTGGACTATTAAAGAAAGCTGAGCGCCGAAAAATTGATGCTTTTGAACTGTGGTGTTGGAGAAGACTCTTGAGAGTCCCTTGGACTGCAAGGAGATCCAACCAGTCCATCCTAAAGGAGATTAGTCCTGGGTGTTCATTGGAAGGACTGATGCTGAAGCTGAAACTCCAATACTTTGGCCACCTGATGTGAAGAGCTGACTCATTTGAAAAGACCCTGATGCTGGGAAAGATTGAGCGCAGGAGGAGAAGGCGATGACAGAGGATGAGATGGTTAGATGGCATCATCGATTCGATGGACATGGGTTTGGGTTGACTCCGGGAGTTGGTGATGGACAGGGAGGCCTGGTGTGCTGCGGTTCATGGGGTCGCAAGGAGTCGGACACGACTGAGTGACTGAACTGAACTGAATGGCAGACTAGTTGTTCCCTAGTTTTGGCACTGGACTTGCCCTCTAAACACCGAATACTTAGTAAGAGGGTTGAGCAATGAGAGCTTTTTTTTTGGAGCCTTTAAAAATAAGTGCAAGGTAAAGATAAAAGATTCTTAAGCAAAAACAAAACAAAATGAGAACAATGATAAAAATTTGGACAAGATGAACAGATAAATTATTTTCCTCACATGGAATATATTATGTAAAGCATTTATATAAGCCACTGAGTACCTTTCAAGTCAAGTTTGCTTCCAGTGGTTTAAAAAAGTCACCCAAGGTGAATTGAAGGGAGACATGTCTGGCTGTGTCCTCTCAATGACAACATGCTTGTAAAATGGTGAGCATTTGTGAATCCGTGCTGATATCATGACAACTATTTGAACCATATAATTGTGAATAGTGTGAATCAATTATTCTTTTAAACATTGTAGTATTGCATCATGTTGAAGTTCTTGTTTCTAAATCAATTCTTCAGGATTCTCACTAATCTGAAGAAATCAAAGAAATATCTTACCACTGAAGTGGGGCAACTAATTGCTTATCAGCTCAGCTTTGCATATAATGTTCTGTTCAATAAAACATCCTGCATCCCTTCCATGCCTTGCCTACATTATCCTCTAACAAGCTTCAAGACATTGTTTAATGTTAGCCATGCTCACTGGAAATTGATTAGTTTGATCATATATCAAATTAATCAGTTTTTAATAGATATTTTAATGTTATTAAAATTAATCTTTTAATAGTTATCATCAAATATGTTCCTTGGATTGCAAGGAGATCCAACCAGTCTATCCTAAAGGAGATCAGTCCTGGGTGTTCATTCGAAGGACTGATGTTGAAGCTGAAACTCCAATACTTTGGCCACCTGATGCGAAGAGCTGACTCATTGGA